CCCTGATGTAGAAGAATATAAAGATCGTTAACTGCAAATATAACATTGTTTATCCCCACCTTTCAATACCAGCTGATTGTGCCGGAATTTAGATGTTCAAGTACAGTATGGTCAGTTCTAAGTGGGGATAGCAAGCAAAGGGTTAAGTTATATTTGCTATATTTGCCTGTATGGTTTTTTTATTGCTCTGTAATGAAATCAGCTGTATCAGATCCATACATATGTTGAGGTGAGCTTAGCTCTGAGATTTTCTATTGAAATGAAGACAACCTGAATCAAATAAATGCACGGTACTTCCACCTCACCAGTTTTCTTTCCCCAAATGATCTATTGAAGTACTTCTATTGTAGCTTGTTGCAAACGTAACTGGACTTAAGAACAACCTCACATCTGAAGAGTTACCTCTGATCCATCTATTCTCCTTTTGAAAGGCTGACAAGATGGAAAGGCTGTTACATATTTTTTGTAGTTATATAAATTTGTGTCTACTAAACTAAAAGATACATAAATTTGTATCACAAATCCATCTACATAATTAGATAAATATCCTCCCATTGTAAAGAAGGAATGCTGTAAGTTAGTTATGATTCCTAATTTTGAGCTTCAAATATTATGTATATGATACATTTTCAGCATATATTTATGCCAAAACATAGGTTCCATTATTTCTTAAAGGCATATTTAGAAAAAGCCTTAGAAATCCAATCTTTCAGATACAGTGACGAGGCTATAAAAGTAATAAAACTACAATTCTCAGAATTCAGCTGGCTAGAGGTTAGATAGAGCCTGATTTGGTAAAATTAATGTATCTTTTAATACTTGAGAGAAATCTGACTATTACAATAGGAGAATAGGAGTGGAATCTAAACACCTTTTGTAAAATTACAGGTGTAATCTTCCCCCAACCAGCGGAAATGTCAGTCAAGATGTTGGCAATAAGACAAACCTTGTAACTGTTAACCCAAGCATTATAGCTCAGAAGTGAGTATACCTGTAGTATGATTTGCAATCTGTGTTTAATTATTAGGCTAAACATCCAGAAACTCATTGGTGTGTTATCCACACCATCATGACTTCTCAGTTCTATTGGCTTCATTAATGTCTCAAATTCCTTCTTAAAAGGCAGGCTAATGCAAAGAGAGATCCTTATCCTTTCCATCCTTTGAAAAAGTAATGCAGCCGTGGAGTCCTATAGTTTCTGCTTCCACAAATTTCTCCATTGCTTTGAGATCAAGAAAGCATTGGAATAATGAAAACCATTATCTAAAAAGTGGCAATAGGCTTTCTTGTCTCTCAGTGCCCCTTAAGATTTTGCTTCAGTGCTGCAGCTTCTTTTATATTATGCATTGACTGAACATATGGCAAAGAATCAAAAGGAAAGGGAGGAATAGATTCTCCATGAAACAAAATCTGCATAGTTATTTTTTTTAAAAAAACGGCTCACTTTGTGTACAAACTAAATACTTGTAAATGTTAATAAACTGTAAGCTCATTCTGTCTGCCTGTCTAAAGTTAAAATACTGCTACTTAAGGAATATGCCCTACATTTTTAGCACATATCCACATCCAGTGTCTTTGCTCTTATGACCAGATATAACAAACTGAATGATCAGAAGGCCACCTTCCTGGAAAACATTGCAAGTTATGGAGAAGCTTTCCTCTTGCTACCCGCTTTTTCCTTTAGAAGCAACACAGCAGCATCTTTCAAAGTACATCACACCCTGAGAGAGTTCAGCGCAAAACAGAAGGCCATATTTTTCTATCCAAGGTATCTCAAAAGTCTTGCCCAGTTCTGGAGAACTAAGGGTGTCAAAGCCTACCGACTGTCTTCTGGCTTCATGATCACCAGTGTAGCAGTGGAACTCTGTGAGAATGTGAAGCTGTATGGTTTTTGGCCTTTCTCCAAAAGCATAGCAGGTATCCCCATAAGTCATCACTACTATGACAACCAACTTCCAAAGCCAGGTTTCCATGCCATGCCTAAAGAGTATAACCAGATTCTCCAGCTCCATGGAAGAGGTATCCTCAAGTTGCAATTTGGCAAATGTTTGACAGAGTAGTCCATGTTTTTGCTTCAGAATGGAGGACACTTCTGTGAAGGCCATACATTCCTATTCTGGTAGAGGGGAGAAGAGTAGATGATAGGTGATGCTAGAAGTGTTGGATGCTGGAGCTCAAACTGGGTTGTAAAACCTCTTTTCTCTCTGTCTTTCTGAAACTCTTTTTTTTTCTTTGTGACAATCCATTTGTTTATAGAATTCCCTTCTCTGATTCTATTTTATCCACTTGACATTTTCTAAAATTATTGTCCATAAAGGGCTTTTGAATGAGGACACCTGCACAGAATTATGGTGAGAACCAGAGGGAGCATTAGGATCAAAGGTTTGCCATTTTTACTTTCAATAAAAGAGAATATGTATAGCTCAGGGTTGAACTGGGAAGTACTTGGTGCTCTCTGAATCTGGTTGTTTTCTTATAGATATTTCATTAGCCAACTAAATAAAATAATCGGTGACTCCCATTGATGATATTATCTAGGCAGGTAATGAAATGTTTGCATGCAAATAACCAGGCTTGCAGAGCACTAAGAATTCTTTATTTTATTTGAGAATATAGTAATTAATTAAGCAGCAATGGCTTCATGTCTTATAACTGGGAAGGAAAATCTGTAACCCATAATCACATACTATCTTCAAAACCAGACCTCTACAATTGAGATCGACTGCATAGTTTGTTGTTAGTTGGAGTTAGAGATGCATAAAAGTTGTAAAAGAAGCTTTACGATTTTTACTGCCATCTGAAAACCAGGGAAAAATAGATCTTACTCCTGCCTAGGGTTAAATAGGGCCACCACGTGATCATTGTACATCCATAAACCTGAAGCTTTTAACTGCTCCAGAAATGTTAATTGACTTGCCACTTTAGAGTGCCTCTGACTGTTATTACCTGTGAATTTTTCTGGGCATATCCTTAACTAAAATTATAATTTTAATTTTGCCATGTGCCATGTGAACATGATACCTCCTTGTAGAAGGAACGTGGGAGAGAAATAAATGGAGTCTTGCTAGATCAAAATCATTCTATTCAGTGCAAACTTTGTTCCCTACAAAGATCAGCAAGAATGTAAATTAAAAATATCCAAAATAATATATCTAAAAACATTCATGATGTATGCAAAGATATTTTAAAAAACAATAATGTATGGGCTTATGTATGAACTTCTAAACACAGATTTGATACTAGGGGAAATGCTGGCTTAGAATGAATGATGTTCTGCATTTTTTAAATCATTAACTTTTAGCCTAAAAGAGAAGCTGTATAACTTTTTATTGAGTTTTCCAGATAAAATAATGTTTGATGATATTCTCAAGGAGGAGATCTGAACTTTTTATATTTATTTTATATGTAAGGGGATTTTAAGATACCCTATCTTTCACTGGACAATTATTTCTCCATCGATATTCAGCCTCCTTCTCTTTATTGAATCCCAAGGTAAAATGTCATGACACGGAGATGTACTGCAATCTGTTGTTGGACTTGATCAGTGATTAATTTTTCCAAGTATAACCTACAAAACATTTTGTACTTAAGTATGGCGATACAAATAAAAGTAAATGTGTGCCGTTATAAATGGTTGTAATCTACCTTTTTACATAGATTACATTTTCAAAGCTCAGAATATTCACTAGAAGACACAATCTCAGGATGAAAGTGGTGTTTATGTAGCTTTTGCATGCTTAGTTGTTATTCTTATAAATGTATTTATTGTTTTCTTAATGCAACCTAAAATGATAGACACTGTCTGTCTAAGATCTTGAAATATTACTGAACCTTTTCCAGTGTGCAAAGAGTTATACATGGACTTATGTCCGAATGTAAGCCTTCCTCTGCCTTGTGCCATTGCTTTTTTGTTTTTGTTACTTGTGGAACCTCAATGTATTATCCAACTTATTTCTATGAAATATTAAATTGCCAAAAAGTGAAACCCTCTGCAATCTCTTCACACCAGTGTGCAGGTAACATGTACTGAATCTTCTGCATATTTGTCTTGTTCATCTCCTCTACAGAATCTTCTGTTATACTTAATAGTAATTGAGAGCAGGCAAGAGATTTTAAAAAAATATTCCAGCATGCCTTATACAATCAAATACTCCAAGAATTAAAATCCGTTTCATTCTCCAGTCATAATATCAAAAATTACATATTCCTGTATATTGATAAAATAAAAAAAGATGAAAGTATACTTTTTAAGTGTAACACTAAAGAATGGAATTCATGAGGTCAGAGTAATGTGAAAAAGAAAAAAAATGTTTTGCAGGGAATTAGTGACAATGTGCTTTCCACACCCATAATACTTTTCTTGTATTGGCAGATAATCTATTTCTAATTCATGCATGTTTTACAGATAATCATCTGGACTCTGATATTTAATTCTTAATATGCGTTTCATTAAAATACTATTAGAATTAAATTATTAACAAGTCTTGATTAAATTTTCTTTTCTTAACAACATGAAACAAAGGAGAACAAGTTATATCATGCATTCCAATAAAAATTAGGATTTGCCTCTTGGGCAACATTTTCAGACCATTGATGGCATTCCATTAACCAAATAAGGCACTTGTCTATAAAAATTGGAGAAATAAATAACTTTTTGGATTACTTTCTCTAGAGATGAAAGTCAGAACAAATATTCCACTGAGCATAGGCACTTTCAGAAACTGAAATTCTGCTTAATTTTGTCCACTTAGTGAACAAAGCTGATGGAATTCTGTCAGGGTCAATCTATATGTGAAAATCATATCTAGTTTTGATAATTAAATCTCTCTCAGATTTTCCATAGTCAGCAGAAATGTAGAAACTACATAGATCCAGCTGCCTTTTACATATGTTCTCAATTGGTACCACTATCAGAATACAGAATAACAGAATTGGAAGGGACCTTGGAAGTCCCATATCATTCCAGACAAATGGCTGTCTAATTTCTTAAAACCCTCCAATAGTGGAGCCCACACAATTTCTGAAGGAAAATTGTTTTCAATTTTCAGCAAAATTTTCCTTAGTTCTAGGTGGATCTCTCCTTGATAAGTTTCCATCCATTATTTCTTGTCTTGCCCTTAGATGCTTTGGAGAATAGGTTGACTCCTTCTTTCTGAAAATGGGACTAATCCTCCCTCCATTAGATTATGTCTAATCTAATGGAGAGAGGATTAGTCCCATTAGACATACTCAGTTGCTGCAACTATTCACTTTACGTTTTAGACTTTAGACCTCTATTCGTAACTTCGTTCTGCACTTTTTCTAGAGGCTCAACAGCTTTTTTATGTCATGGTGACCAGAACTGAATGCAGTATTCCACATGTAGTCTCACCAAGACAGGATATAGCAGCACTAATATTGTATGTGTTTTTGAATAGACTGTTCCTCTTTTGATGCAGGATTCCTAGATCCCACTCACAGTTACTACCATTAAGCCAGATATTATCCTTTCTATAACTGCATTTGATTTTTCTTTCCTAAGCGTAAAACTTTACTTTTCTCACCACTGTATTGCATTTTGTTGGATAGGGTCCAGTGTTCAAGTCTATCAAACTCTTTCTGGAACTTCTAAAGTGTTGGCTATTACCCCTAGCTTGGTGCTGTCTGTGAATTTGTAATAGTTCTCTTTTATTCCCTCATCTAAATCATTTATGAAGATGTTGAAGAGTACCGGACCTAAGACAGAACCTTGGGTATCCTACCGAATACTTCCTTCCATGTAGATGTAGTTCTATTGAGGACTACACATTGAGTGTGATTGGTCAGCCAGATGCGATTCCATCTGGTGGTGATGCTGTCTCAGATTGCTCTATTTTAGTAAGAAGTAGGTTGTGGTCTACTTTATCAAATGCCTTACTGAAGTCCTGAAGCACATGCCACTGTTGTTATACTCCACTCCTGATTCTTGATTTCAGAGAAATGTAATCTAAGTGGAGACACATAACTCAGTAGCTGACAAGATCCATGTGAGAAATTCCTACATATGTGCCATGTTGTCACAATGTTAGGATTTTGCACTGGACTTAAAAACATGCTATATTTGAAAATTCATTAAACACATCAATATGGCTTCAGCTTATAAAACCAGGGAATGTCCTTTTGGTTTTTATGTCTATTGAAAGATAGCTTATGCTTTTCTCCTGAACTTTTAAATAAATACTTTTTCATTGTAGTATTTATTGGTTTATTGAATTTCTACAATGATTGAGCTATTGGAGATAGAATCCCAAACTATTTATGCTTGCGTAATATTTTCCTCTTCTTTTAGTCTCTTTTCAGTAAATTTGTCACAACACTTGATACTGTACAGTCCAACTATAATATTGTTATCTATTTGAAATTATTACTAAGTGTCTGATTATATTTATGTATCAATACCTTCATTTTTTGTGCAATGTATTGGGAATTGTACTCTGCTGCCTTTCTGTATCGGTTTATTGTTTTTAGGTAATATTTTGTCATCAGCCAAAAGACATTGTTGATGCTTTGTTTTAATGAAGTATCTCAGTGCCAAAGATGTTTGCTTTTATAGATATAATGTTGGTTGGTGAACTAAAATATTTTTGTGCTAATAAAAAGTTTTGTGGTATTTATTGCATCTATCAATTCATTTTATGCCTACATTCAGATCATTATGAATGCATACTCATATTAAAATGAAGGATCCCCAAGTATTTTAGGATTGTTGGAGAACATGGAATTTTGAAGATTGTATAGGTACCATCAGGGAAAAAAAGCACCATGGTGTGTATAAGTGTACAAGTAACCAAACACCCATGTGCCAGAAGGCAAGCTGGTGAAATAATTTTGTTCTTCCATACATTCTCTGTGGCTTCTCAGAAATTTCTGCCTTCCCCAGCTTCATGTGTATGTATGCATCTCTAAGCATTCATCCAAAGAGCTAGACTGCAACCATTCAACATGTTTTCTTAAGATTGTTTCTTTGAATGTGTATGTGATTCAGATATTTTTGTTTGAAATAAAGATTAAGTTGAGGTTGTATGTTTTGTTTTTCTACACA